GAACGCGTTGTTTTCTCCACGAGCTGTCTTTGCAGTAGACGAAGTAGGGCACAATTACGTCAAAGTGTGGTGCTTTTGTCGGTCAAAAACAATGAGACAGAAAGCGGTAAAAAAAAAGTCATTTGTAAACTAAATTCGGAAGTACCACAAGCTTGATTTTTAATAGCTGAGCTTATCTGAATTAATGATAAACGGTTGACGTCAATGAACCCAACAAGCCGACAGAATTAAGGAATTTTAGAGGTTGTGACATTTTATAAACAGCAAAATGCTTTGGCTTACAACCGTTAACCTCACCTTTAATAAAGGCAACTTAAAAAAATGTTGAGATTTGGGGTGAAGGGGGTGGGGAAGAAGATGTAGAAAAGTCGGGCGTACCTCTGGAAAAATCCTGGCTACGCCACTGCTAAAGCCCGAAAAACAAAAGGAGTCTTGAGAAACGTCCTTATCATCTGTCCGGGGTCGTACTTTAAAGGAAGTGTGATCAAGAATCATTAATGACGGAATGAAACTTCTCGTAGCTTCCAGCGAAAAAAAAGAGTGACATCCGTGGTAAGCGGTCGTTCTGTGAAAAGTAACGCAATCTTTGCCGTTTGCGATCTTTCGGCGCTTGGATTTAAAACGTTGTTGTTCGTATGTTCTCCCGTATGGATACTTGACATTTCCAATATATGAAAACACCATGCTAAGGTACGAACAACAGACATTGACAACATTGTTTTGTACCGTAAAATCTGATTTCGTGGACGTAAAACGTTTTGAATTTTAAGACTTTTTAATATTAGTGTTTTGCCCTCCCTTTGACAACTTCACGTGATTGGTGCTCTTGCGGGCAGGAGTTGACAGCTTAAATCCGCCTTTCTTGATAGCAAATAGTCTGTTACACAGCCGTTTTAACGGCTTTAATTTATATCAGATCGCTGTTTAAACACCAAGAGAGGATAAAGGGGACAGAGAAGGCATCCCCCCTCTATTCAATGGGTAATTCGTCTCGAGTTATTTTTAGAATCGGGCTAAAGTTACCTCGCGCACCGCGTGGATGCTTCATGGAGGTTTCGCATGACTAAACGCCATGCAAAACATGTCGGGCGAAAGGCAATGAAAGCGTAAAGAGATCGAGAGCATTTCTGAATATTGAAGCGAAATGAGTCGGCGCTTACCTGGGAAAAGGGAATCGCTGAACTCTTTGACAACCAGTGAAATCAGTTTTACTCGACGTTGTCGTAGCCTCAGTGCTTTAACAAAATGAGAAATTTCGCCGGTCTATTGAAACCGGTCGTTTGTACAATAAAACAAGTAGGACGCCAAGTGTTATTTTCGTTGAATAATAAAAGACTAATAAAAGAATAAATATCAAACCAGAAATGGCTCTCTTCAAACTGTAAATTATAAATGATCCTGCGAGAATATTCAGTGTGTTAAAGATTTCCCTGCTGTACTGTTAGCTCTATACAAGAGAGGAAGGGCGATTCTCTTTTTAATTTCCGTTTCGCTGACACAGCTTTAGCAGAAGACTCTCTTTAGTAGTTTTCGTGGACAAAACAAATAGCAATATCGCTCTCCGCGTCTTCCGCCATTTTTTTCAGCGTCAATTCGTGAAGGACGCGTGGCTCTGAGCGTGGGTCATCCACGCGGAACACATTCGTGCTATGTGATTGGCTGTTGTCTATCCCCCCCGAGATCTATGGTCTTAAAAACAACTCGAGACGAGTTACCTATGGAATAGGGTGTGTATGGGGGATGCCTTCTCTGTCCCCTTTATCCTCTCTTGATAAACACGTATTGATTTCTGAAAGCTGATAACATTAAAATTGATTTCTTATTGTATTTTCCCGAATTTTTAGCATCGGCTACCCTGGGTACCAGAGGTTTTTTTCTCGCATGTGACGAGGAGCTTCGGCCGTAGGCCGACACGTCGGCCAAAAAGACGAGCGGCGAAGCCGCGAGAAAAAACCTCTGGCGCAGAGCGCCTTGATCTACCGTGCTAGATGGACCTTGACCTTGTCTCTAATCTGTCAATCAAACCGGTGGTGCGCACCCCCTGCACCCTCCCCCTAAATCCGCCCCTGCCCCCGTAAGTCGAAAATAATTATCGGATCGAAGTAAAATTACATTTATGTTAATAGCTTATCTAGTGTTACTTTGTGAATTTTTTTGAGAATTTTCGATTTCTCACTTTTGTAGACCTCAGGTCGATATTTACAGACATCCGCTCTTAAATGGCGATGTTATAATACATTTATTAGATGCTGTGTCACATGTACATTTACAACTTTGCCGGCTATATCATATGTTATCATGCATTTTACATGCTTTATTGTGGCATGTTTTGTACTTGACATTTATGGCTATTTTGGTGTGTTACTCACCTGGCGGCTATTGTTTACTACATTAGTGTGCCCAACTCACTCAAGCCATTATAGGTCAAATGTCCTTTTTACAATGTCTCGGATTATTTTTTGTCATAATATTGCCTGCTCTTGATTTGCACTTGACATTCTTTGGCTTCCGTTTTTTACTTGGAGTCTATGCTAGTTGGAGCGTGTATAGCTAAACTCTCCTACGCTATTGTGGAATGTCTCGGATATCTTTGTCTCTTAGACGCGTTTCCTTTTCAATTTACAATCTTAATTACCGCCCGACGTCAGATAAAGGCTTTTTTAAATCGGCCTTTGAATGAAATTTTATTATTTTAAATTGCCATATAGTACAATGAGTTGATTTTTTTGCTATAAAAATAAACCCGGTTTTGAAAAATCCTGGTATAAATATGAGCTTAAGTACACCTGATCAAACGGATTCACACTTCATAACATTTCAATTCGTTTATTACGATCGGTCAACTGACCTTGAATTTGAAGTTAAAATTCAAAACGATCCTAATTAGCCTGCGTAGCAGGCGCTTGGAAGTAGTGGGCGAAAGAGAGAACGGACGCGCGCGAGGTAGCCACGCAAGGAAAAAGGTGTCTCGTTCTCTCTCGCGCGTTTTTTCTTGTACCCACTACTTCCAAGCGCCTGCTTCCAAGCGCCTGCTACGCAGGCTAGATCCTAATAAGAAAGTACAACTATCTCTGAAAGCTCTCTAACTTGAAGCGACCTTAACTTTCCTGAGGTTTGCAGCAAAACTCTTCGGTGGTTCCAATTCTTATAAGCTATACGCACAGGTAGCCCAAGCTCACTATGAGAGCCCGGAACAACATTATCCTACTTAGCTAATTAATTATTCATACAGCAAGAAAATTATAAGACGTTGTATGGAGAAATGTTCTTTGCTCACTAAATTAGCAAAATGTACATATTGAATATCGCTTTGAAGCTTACCTTTAGCGTCTTCTTGTTTTTCTTTGTATTCTGACTGCATTTCAGACCTCCTAGGCACTGTTTAAGGCCTTTTTTTGAGCGACGGTTTTTCACCCAGATGACATTTTGCTAATTTAGTGAGCAAAGAACATTTCCCCATACAACGTCTTATATTTTTCTTGCTGTATGAATAATTAATTAGCTAAGTAGGATAATGTTGTGCAGGGCTCTCATAGTAAGCTTGGGCTACCTGTACTATAAGCAGCTAATGCTAAATGTTGCACATTCAAACTCCGCAGAGCAAGATTGTTTGAAGAAAAAGAAAACCACACAGTATGTCTGAGTAGTGAGTATAGTGAGTAACAGTCCTGCCTTCGACCGCTATGTTTTTGTTCCTTCTCAAAACCGTTGATCCTTGGTTTTTGACGTAATGCGTATGATCAGTACACAAATCCACTGTCAGGACCTTTGAGAACATCGTTTGGATTTCATTTAAGAGAATGTATTGAAAGTAGCATCTACCCAACCCCCCCCCCACCCCCCATAACCATTTTAAAATAGCTGAAGCAGCTTGTTGAATTTTTTTCAAAACTTCATTCCTACGCAGGGTCGATTTTCGTTTCAGATGGCCCTCAATTTACACTTATCAGTTTGACGCATTGTCTTTTTTTTGTTTTTATTCATGGATATTGTCTCCAAATTCCATATATATTCGCGTGATCGAAGGCTGTCAATAATAGTGCAAATGCGAATATGAACATTTTTTGCATATTATTTGCATATTTGTCAGGTACACAACATCTCATCTCCTCTGGTTGTAGTATTTGTTATGAGTTAGTGTGCGTGGGCTTTTTTCAGGGATTTAGAATATTGATAATAATATCTTTATCGCTATCTTTAACCTAAATATTGACTGCAAAAGACTGAAAAACTCTAAATAATTGAATGAAGTCACAACTAGACACTGGCGCCCCTTGGGCCTTAAAGCCGGTTCATTAAGTTCATTGACGTTCATGACTCGACGTAGGTCCTGTGGATCGCTTGGCTGATACGATAAACTGGGCTAAAAGTGTATTTGAGCCTCATTCGGCCACTGTATTTTGTATCTACTTTTTAGTAAACTGGCTTGAAACAAATGTGAATTTTGGAGCGATTTCTATTTTATAAGAACTGAACTACCAGGACGTAAATTTCAAACAGCGGGACACTTATCAAGTTTAAGCTGACATCAAAGTAGGCGCGAAAAATAAAGTAAATAGTCATATTTAAGTATATGAAAGGGTCGGCTGAGTCTGTCATTTCGATCTGTAAAAAGGCCCAAAATGAAAAAGCTCACAGATGCAGTCGAGAAAAGTCGTTTTGGTTTTGTGATTTACAGTTTACAGTGCATTTACCGTAATTAAAAGGGCTGCAAATTTCTCAACTAGGTATGTGAAAGGAGTACCATTTGTATACTAAAGGAATGTCTTTTCTCTCAAAAAATGATATATAAAAGGGTCGGTTGGACCTCGAGGCCTCCCAGTATAAGACTTTGTTGAGCCCTGGGCGCAGGTGGAATTGACTGATGCATTATTACTTGAAATTATTTGTTTCCGATTACTGTCCACGTCGGGGTTCGCTGGCAATCGGAAATATTATCTGTAAATAACCACGTACCGTTTCAGAATCTACAGACTTACATGGCTAGCTGTCTAGCATAACTATATCATTAATTCACTGGTAGTTTTGGAACAAAAAAAAAAGGTAAGACGTATCTTAGTTAGTGTTTGAAATTTAGCTATCAAGTTATATGATGCGACTTAGAAGTTGACTGTGCCTGTAATGGAAGATTAGAGTTATGATGTCTATGATCATGATTCTCATATTCCAGCCATAGGTGCGAACAAAAAATAGCGTAAAATCTGTAATAATTAAGAAAATGAAAAAGACACAAAAGTGATAACTTGATTTTTAAGGGAGACGAACTCAAAAGTAAGTGCCGATAATTCAGTTGAATCCAGCCTTAATGAATTTTATGCAAGGAACGAGGAAAAGCGAGTTCGTATGACTTTCATCCAAGGCAGGTGTATGTAAGAGAAGAGTGTCGGTGACGGCTTTTTCCTGGATTGGACAATTTCATTCCCTCATTCTCAATCAGCAAACCCAAAAAATATAAATATATAACTAGGAAAACTAGGGGACCAGAGCGCTATATAGCTTATCGACTCCAGTCGATGGTTCAGAAATGGAAACGATTTTACTGTTCATTAGTGGCTTTCTTTGGTTGTTCTAAAAGGTATTTTTATCGTTGCTCGGACAGTTTTTAAAGTATAGTTGCTTGCTAGCACTTCGACGGAAGGTGCATTAACTCTTGTAGGTTGGAGAGAAAAAGTGTCTCTTCTCTCTTTGATCCTTTTTTTTTAAATTAAAAATTGAAACTTGACTCTTTACTCCGTCGGGGCGTTTATTTATATTTTATCTTTTTTTCACAAGAAAAATAAATGAGAAGAGATGAGTCTGTAACACATTCAACTGCATGGTTTTGGTAATCACAAATCAATCCTCCTCGGGACAAAACATTTTCAGTAGTAGGGGTGATGAATGGTCCATTAAAATTTTTAACTGCTCGCAAAATTTTACCTTTGCTCGATTTGCTCGCAACATTTAAACGACGGCTCGCTTGCTTGTGCTCCCCAAATTTTTGCGTTGTTCGCAAGCTTGCAAAGCAATTTTTTATTTCTGCTCGTGCTCGCAAAAAGATCGCAGTGCTCGGCATGCTCGCGAATGCTCGTAAAGACCATTCGTCACCCCTAGTAGTCTCCATGCAATAGAATAGCCATGGCCTCTTATTTACCATGTCATTAAAAATAAATGATGCAATTTCCTCTTTAATCGTACTGTCAACTCGTTTTGACTTGCAAAGCAGTAGTTCCGGCAGTTTCGTCTCAATGACTGTTGAGTGTAAGCCTCTAGCTTTCCAATCCGGAGATAAAATCTTTCAAGTTCAATAAAAGACGTTAACTGCACCAGCACCAGAAGATTGTGACTGTAATTTCATTTTCTAAGTGTCAGAACTCTCGACTGACTTATTTTAAGCCCGCGCCGTATGAATCTTTTCACCGGTAGTTTATAGAAATAGCCTCGTAATTACGTTAATTATCGGGCAGTTTACTGGTAAAAATTTTCTTTTTCCCTTTATTATATTTTTCCAACAAAATAATAAAGTAGGAAGCGAGACATTATATTTAATTGAAAATTCAGTCCTTTTAAATAAATACGACTGGCAGTAAACAACCTGTTGGGTGAAAGATGAGCTTATCTTGAAGGATGCATTCAAATGCACAATATTCAGTTAACTCTGTTAAGTTTAACCATGGAATCACTAAATTATCATACGCTTTTGTGAAACTTTCCTTCACTCTTTACTCTTCATAATTTTTTGTCGCGAGTAGTTCTTCTTAGATTACTGGAATTAAAAGCTTGCCTAAAGATTTTAGCTTGTATAATATTTGGGAAGCGAGCTCTGCAAGTTCTTATTTAAATGAAAGACTATAACTGTTGCATATAGGGTTTTTGGTACTTATTTGCTGCAGTTTCACTCTTCTCTGCAACTAAATTCATATAATATATGATATCAATCTGAAAAACGAAAAAGTGGGTTTTCAACTAAAAAATTGAATATTAAAGGTTTGGGTTTTTTCGTCATCCGATTTTAAAACTAGCGGTTACAAAAAAATGTCTTAACTCTTACTTCCACAAATATGCACAAAGACAATTGCAACTCATCAGCTCGCCTAAGATTAACGTCTTTTCGAGGAAGGCATTAAATGCTAGTCAATAACAACAGCTTCAGGTTGAAACAATTTAAAAAATTGTAAGCTAAGGTTCACATGAACTCTTCCCATTTATTTTCTTTTTCCTTCTCGCTTAGTCATGACAGAGCTGAACAATTCCGAACAAAAAAAATGTTTTAATTGCCCATTAAGCTTTTATGTTTCAAGAACGGTGGTAGCGCAAAACTCATAAATTTGTCGCACTTAATAAACCATACGCAGTAAATCAATTACCGTATTAATATCGTAAGTGACGAATTACTCCTTAATTTCGGCGCGAAATTCCGGCGTTAATTTGTAATTTCACATGTGAAATTACAAAATTGCCATGGTAACTTGCCGTACGTCTGCGTTTCAAGATGGCGACGAAGTTTTAAAATGTTATGAATGAAGATGTCAGGGTATAAAAAGACGTTTTAGAAAACCTGAACACACGAAAGAGCACATCAAGAAGGATTCTTAGAGGTATTTTGTCGAAAAATTCTGAAAACTTAAGCCAAATTTCAGCTCTAAACGTTTGACAGAGTGGAGTTCACGATCGATCGATACGATCAAGGATAAAAAAGTCAAAATCCTCGATTGCTAGCGTAATTCGTCACCCATGATATTAATAGGTAATCAAATGGTATACTCGCAAAATTAGAGAATAATTTCACTTGCGTTTTGTCCAAACCCTAATAATTTCCCGAGCCCTTAGGATTTGGACAAAACTTGCGTGAAATTATTCCCTAATTTCACTCGTCACCATTTGATTACACATACTTATTCGAATAAGCGCTGAACCTCGAATTAGCGCCCACCTCGAATAAGCGCCCAGCCTTGAATAAGCGCCCACCCACACAAACTCAAATAATTAACAATTAATGAATGAGACTGAGTATCTTATGAAAAATTATGGAGATCGAGGAGAGTGTTATAATTATTCATTCAAAATAATTGAGTCCTAGCCAAAACATAGCTAAAACATGTTTACCTCCATCGATGTTAAGTTCAAGTCCGATAGTGCACGTTTAGGGTTGTTCAGTTCCGCAAATATTCTCTAAATAGCAGACGTCGCCCTTCGAGTTGTCTTCTTGCTGTTCTTGCCATGTTTTTAGCTATTATTTCGACTAGTTCTTACTGTTGAAACGAGTGAAATGAACGCCATTTTTGTTTTCACCACCAAAACGACTTAACCTTGTCTCCAGGTCTTCTCGATTAACGGTACATTAACCTGCAAGTTGGCTGCACCTTTGACGTCAGCGGTTCATTAAACGTAACATTCTTCTAAATTTGGTCATCAGTGGCTGGTTATGGTGAATTGTGCTTGTGTTTTTGGCCAATCAGAATCGGGGAAATATTTTGAATGAATAACAATATATAATAAGAGACCCTCCCGAAGACGGAGTTTTCTTCAGAGTATTTTACAGAAACGTTGCTTTGTTACATCTTCGCTTTTTGTTATTGTCATTTATTATTTTGTTGCAAAATAAACATAGTACACTTGCTGAGAAAGGTGCAAATTTAATAAGCGCCAAGGATCGAATAAGCGCCCACTCTCAAGGTCCAAAAATTTAATAAGCGCCTAGAGCGGTTAAGAGAATAAATACGGTATTTGTGTCGTCACTAAGATTTAAAACAACGCGATCCAACAGAGCGTTTTCATTCATGTAGCCAGCAACTATACCAATTTATTGGAACATATCAAAAGAAAGCCTTTACATATTATATATTATTATATCGAGGAATCGTTAGATCGAAACTCCCGATATAACGATATGGCCGTAAAATTACCGAAAATATCGCTATATCGGGGTTTCCCTGCTAGCAGAGGTCTCTCTCATTTCAGTTGTCATTTTTGCCTCGTCGTAAGAGACCTCTGCTAACTGGGAATATCGGAGTAGACAAACATGTACGTTTTTACTGCATTCATTATTTAATCAAATTTGTAATGAGTATTAAATGATTCACAAATGTAACATTAATTTCAAGTACGCAGCAATGTCCGTAAACAGTTTGTTTAGCACTAGAAGTTTTCAAAGTCTATTATACACAGTAAATTCTGTGCTGTGTATCGTACGTGTGCGATCATAAAACTAAACTTAAACATCTGAAGTTGCGACTCTTATAATCTTTACTTATTTTTCGACATCGCGTATTCATTTACATTTACATATGTTATCTTGCAACATCTATAACAGACATATTCGCAAGCTCCCGACTAAAAACTAAAGCACTACTACTAGGAAACATAAAAATCAAAATACAATAAATTGAAAGGGGTAAATATCACACTGAAAACAATGTAGTCAGAGATGGTGGCTTTAAATTTTACAGTTGAATCCATTGTTAAATAATCAGATGGCAGGCTATTCCAGTCAATGATAGTTCTCGGCCAGAAGCTGTATTTGTACGTGTCACAGAATGGCTGAAGTGGGATAAATTTCAGTGGATGAGATGCTCTGGTTTTTAGGGAAGACTGATGATGTACATAGCAGGGGATATCAATAGCAGCTTGGTTGGTAACACATTTGTACATCAGTGTCAGTCTAGCTACTTGTCTTCTCTTTTCGAGAGTTGGCCAATTTAGTAGCTTTAGGGCGTTGGTTACGCATCCCTCCTCCCTCGTGTAAGTTCTTGGTACGAAGAGTGCTGCCCTGCGCTGGACCTGTTCAAGCCATGATTTCTAATATGCTCTATAAGGGTCCCAAACAGTACAACCATATTCCAACCTTGGTCTCACCAGCGATTTGTAGGCCTGATCTTTAACCTTTTGTGGGCAATTATGCAAGTTCCTCTTGACAAAGCCAAGTGCCAAATTGGCTTTGTTTGTAGTGTTTAGGATATATGGCTTCCAGTTTAGGTTATCTGACAGAGAAACACCGAGTAAGGATAGTGGTCTACAGCCTGTAGGGTATGGCCAAGCATAGTGTATGGGTGTATAAAGGGACACTTGGTTCTGCAAACGCGTAAAACTTAACACTTCGATGGGATGAAGGCCATTTGCCACAACTTTGCCCATTCAACTAATTTGTCCAGATCAGATTGAAGACTGATTGCATCGTCGGAATTGTGTACCAAACCATGCTAAACAGGGTGTCATCAGCAAATAACTTAATATTTGAGGTAATATCATCACCGTCCTATATCATTAACGAATAACAAGAAGCACAAGGGACCCAACACGGTTCCTTGCGGGACTCCAGATCTCACGCAAGACTTCTCACTGAACTCGCCTTCAAGGGCCAGCTGTTGAGTTCTTCCTATTAGCCATGCCTTTATCCAGGCTAAGACTAAACCACGAATGCTATAGTACTCTAATTTAAGTAAAAGACGTTTGTGTGCTACTTTATCGAAGGCTTTAGAAAAGTCTAAGATGAAAAGATCAGTCTGGTTTCTATCATTTACTGACCGGGATAGATGCTCTACGGTATGATAAGTTGCGTTTCGCATGAGCGCCCAGGACGGAAACCATGTTGGGCATCCACCAGGATGTCAAAAGAGTTTAAATGTATCATAATACTGCGATAAATAATGTGTTCTAACAGCTTGCAATGCACTGACGTTAAAGAGACGGGCCTGTAATTGGCAGCCTCTGACCTTGAACCTTTCTTAAATATTGCTACAACACTGGCATGCTTCCAGTCCGGTGGCACCTCACCAGTGTTGATGGATTGTTGGAAGATAAAACTCAGGTAAGACGCGCGTAGGTAGTAAGTCAGGGCCCTTTGCTTGAGATGGATTCAGTCCGCTGAGCAGTTTAATTACACCATTGTTGTCAATGTGGATATTGGGCATGTCTGGCAGGGGCTATCGGGTAGTTGAGGTAGAACTGGATCCTCAAGTGTGAATACACTGTCATATTGCTCGTTTAGGATGTCTGCTTTCTCCTTGGGTTTGGTGAATTCCTTGCCATGTGATTTCAAGATAACAATTCCAGCCGAGTCTCTACGTTTAGCTTTAATACATTGCCAGAAGTGCTTGGTGATACCTGCCTTGGCATGGTCGTGAACAGGGTCGGCCTCATCAATGTCTAATAAATTGTTTACATATTATTGTTGGTGTGCTAGCTGTAGTTCTTTATGTACCAGCTTACGAAGATGCCTAAATCTACGCCAAACTTATTCCCTTCCGTTGCGACGTGCAGAGTTATAACAACGCTGATTTTTACTGCTGAGACGTCTGATGTTTGCATTGCACCATGGGAGAGATCTTTTGTTTTTGAGTGTTCGCTGTGGTATGAACTCGTCAGTGGAGTTATAAATGTCTGCTTTAAACTGATCCCAATTTGCTCGAATAGACTTTGTTTCAGGACGGGATGCTTCGAATAGCTCAAAGCGCTCCTTTAGTTTCCGCCGAGGGCCTTTCATGTCAGCCCGCTTGTAGAGATAAACATTCCATTTAGGGTTAGCTGGTGGATTTGCTCCGAGTGATTGATATCAGAGATAACAGCATCATAGTCACTCATTCCCGGGACTATGTAGACTTTATCAACAAGATATTGGTGGGATGTGAAAAGCAGGTCAAGAATGTTTCCTTGTCGAGTTGGTTCCGATACTATTTGAGTGAGGTTGAAATCATTTGCAATGTCGATCATTTTCCAATTGATAGCGGCAGTATAATGTGGGTTTGACTTGACAGAGCCCTCTTCCCAGTCAATGTCAGGAAGGTTAAAGTCACCACTTAACAAGACGTACTTTCCATCAATACCACTGAGTTGTTTGATGTTATTCATAGAGAGTTCAAGCTGCTCCAGATAATCAACAGATGTATAAGGGGGTCGGTAAAAGGATCCCACAACAACACTGCCTGATTTATGAGAGATATTGTACCAGACAATTTCGCATTCTCCTGGAGAGGACTGCTCGACGGAGATTATGTTGCTGTTAACTGCAATTATTACATCTCCCCCTTTTTCGCCAGAGTCCCAATCTTTTCGGACTGGTGGTGAATAAATAACAATTAGCGTTAGCGGCGAGGTAAATATCCATCACTAGCCACCGACACTGAGGTGAATAATTCAGTGAGATAATTGAGCCCAAAAATAATGATTTTTAACTCATTTACTGTTGCCTGCAACGATTACAATTTTGGCGTGCAATGACCGAACGGCCTCTGTCGTCGCTTTTTCTTGCCGGCAAATAAAACTTTTGAAGGCATTTGCTTAGCTCTTGCTGAGAAATTTCCTCAAAAGGAGTTGTGAATTCTTTTTTGTTTTTAAAATCATTCTGTAAAATGGATTATTAGATTTAGTTTTAAGCTTATTTCTGAACAAGTCAACTAAAAAAAATAACGCAAGACTTAAACTTAATTTGCATTTGTAAACAACAAAACTTTTTCGCCGGTTTTATCGATAAATTCAAGTCAAAAAGACAAAGCTTTACCGGTGAAAACTTCCACCCCGTGCTTCGTCACTTTCTTCGTGTATTTCAGAAACGGCTTGCTTGATTAGTTGTGAAATTTCTTTGTTTCTTACGGCAGCAAACCGGGAAGGCATTTTGCAACTTACGCGAGTTTGGCGTCTCTCGCTCGGAGGAACTGGAGGTGAATCAGTGAATAGTGCAGGATATTCACTGATTGAGTAGCCAATCAGAGCGCGCGAAACACACTATCCACTGTTTTAGTATATACTAAACATAGTTAGGAGGAAATATCTCTCTGCTGTCGATATCTTTGTTAAGGTGTGTTTCAGTACCAATAATGATATCTGGCTTGTGGGTCTCAATAAGCTGATATAGTTCAAGGTGCTTGTTTTAACTCACAAGGCTGCAGAAGTTGACTATGCATACTCTCAGTTGGTTCGAATTGCAAGTATGAGGTTTTCTGGAACTGGTTCGTTTCCCATGGGCTCTTCTCGATCTTATAGCAAACTTTCACCACGAGCATTCTATCGTCCCGACTAGCTGCCCCTGGGCCTCCGAGGACGGTGCATTATGTTCTATATGAAAATGCTGAATAGAACCAAAACTTCACCTATCCCTTCATAATGGACACTTTATGGGCACGAGTTTGCTTCAGGCCTTGGTTTGGAATTGCAAACATAACTGCTTTCGCATCAATGAATTCCCAAGAGAGTTAAAACGAACGCGATAACAAAAAAGATTTCGTCACAAATGCGGCATCGGCGGGGAAACTGTCTGCTCTGACATGAACAAGGCCATTCACACTACAGACTTTTGACCTAGGTAAACTCGACTTGTTAAAAGTTTACCTAGGGAAACTTGATTTTCTAAGTGTGACCGATTTTTCCCTTGTTAACTTACCTCGGGGAAATTTTTTCCTCTGGGGCTTGGATATGTCTCGAGAACAATAGAGTTTCCCTTGACAGCTACCCCAAAGCGACTGGTGCGGAAAAATGAAATACCGAGTTTGGTAGCCAATGGACGCTCGTCGGCGAAGGTCTTGACGACAGAACCGGACATAGCTCACGCAGTGAAAGAAATTTTTGGGGAAAGAGTCGTCTACGTCTTCGCCTGTCTTCACCTTGCCTGTTGAATTAGCGTAAGAAATAACAGCGAGATAAAAGAAAAAATAAAACGTCTCTTTGTTCGGCTAGATTCCTGCGCATCTTTTTTCAATTCAACTGAGCGTGAAAACCTTGCTAGCCGATATCAGTAGTGTGACCTTCACAAGATTTTTTACGTAGGTAAAACAAAATCCGAGATGAATTTACCTCGGGAGGGTTTTGATGAATTTGCCATAGTAAATCGGTTTTACCTAGGTAAAAGTCTGTAGGGTGACCACAGCAATGTTACTAAAAATGTGACCCTCCCTAGGAAAAGGGGGCTTAACGCAATTTTGAATAAAGACAATAAACGCCTCTTAACGCAGCGTTTAAATCACATAAGGATTTGTATGGGAGAAAAACCTATCGTTTCCGTAACCTACGAAAATGAAAGGATTTCGTTGAAAAATAGCTTACCTTACATAAAATGTGTGTTACGTCTCTCCTGTGTGGTCCATGGGCCAAATGTATTGCCGTTTTATGGGTTGTACTGAAAACGGTTTTCTCTCTACGAGTCTGTGTAAGCCTTGTTTCAAAGATCCTGCCTCCCGTCACGCGTACTTTGTTTCTTCTAGTCACGCGTGCCTTTGTTATGTAACCTTTAACATTCCATATCCATATATGGGCTTGAAGAAGTGCTGACTTTTGGATGATAAATCTTAAAACGAGCAGCAAATGTTGTCTTCTGAAGCCATAAAATAAGATGTTGCCTTATTTTTCTCTGTTATCAGGGGCACCCAACCACTGTTCTCTGTAAAAATATTTCCTAAAAGTTTCGATCGCTCTAGAAAGGCCAAAAATGTCTAGATGACTGTTTCCCTTTTCTAGTACCTTTTTGGCGTTTTTGTATTTACCAGAACCGTAGATAGCGGGGAGGCCAAGGGGGGCAGCTGCCCCCCTCAGACACATCAAGTCTGTGGATGGAGTTGTTTTCTTTAGACTAAATTAGTTTGATTATAGTGACTTGCAATTGTTTGCCATTTTCAGGTTCGAGGTCGATTTTTCGGAGACATATCTCATGATAAGTGTTAAAAATAGCGTTTCGGAGTCTCCAAACTTGAACATTGTCTTGGGGGGGGACACCCAGACCCCCCTACAAGACTTGTGCCTTCGTTTTACAGTTTTTGTGCTACAATGGTGACCAACTTTAAAGGCCTGATAAAAATCGCAAAGAGCGTGCAGATTGCAAAGTTTGATTATGTACGTTCACGGAAGTCGACATAAAGTTGACATCTGTCAGGTGAGACTACACTTAACAGTTGCGACTCGCACGCCAATAAATGAGTCATTTATTGCATTCAACCTTCCCAGAAACATAATGCTTTCTTTGAGCAGCGCTTTTGGAAGAAAAAGGTGAGAGAAGTACACGATGATTTAGTCACAAAGGTATTCTAGCTTGTGTATTCGTTGTCAAGAAGTCTGCATCAACACATAAAAGCTTAAGTAATGCCGTGACTACCTTATCACAAGAAATTTTCGCGACATGTTTATTGCGCGATTTTGCTGTGCGCATATTTGGCGAAACTTAATTATCGCGATTTAAGAAAATCTTACATTTGGATCACTTTAATTTAGCGTTTTGAGCACCACAATTTAAATTTCATGGGTAATGTTATTTAACATGCCCTTTTTAAAGAAAAAGAGAAGGATATTTCTGCCCCAAATTCATTATTTCACGATTTTAAAGCTACTACTGTACATTTATTTTTTAACACAACCGTATAACCATTCGTGACCTTTACTGAATAATTATCTTCAAACCTGAAATAGAATTAAGTTGTTGACAGATGTTAAGAAGTCTGGCGTTTGAAACACATGCAAACGTGTTTCGTTGCGTCGTGAGGGGACACAAATTGCTTTTACTGGAAGTACAATCCCACGCAGAGATGATTTCTTCGCGGGCAACTAATCCGACTCACTCCCATTTAATATATTGGCGAAACGGACTGTACCTTTTTTCTTTGCAGAGAGGGCGAGCCAAACGCGAACTTAAGGCCCCGTGAGTACAGTGTAACCCAGTGATTCTTTTGGTAGAGCTAACAAACATTGGCTGCACTAAAAGTAGCGCACCCATGAGTGTAGTGTAACCCAGTGATTCTTTAGGTAGGGCTAACAAACATAGGCTGCACTTTAGGTGGCGCACCCAAGAGTGTAGTGTAACCCAGTGATTCTTTAGGTAGAGCTAACAAACATAGGCTGCACTTTACGTGGCGCACCCATGAGTGTACTGTAACCCAGTGATTCTTTAGGTAGAGTTAACAAACGTATCCTGCACTTAAGGTGGCGCACCTATGAGTGTATAGTGTTACCCAGTGATTCTTTAGGTAGAGCTAACAAACACAGTCTCCACTTTAGGTGGCGCACCCTTGAGTGTACTGTAACCCAGTCATTCTTTAGGTAGAGCTAACAAACCTATGCTGCACTTTAGGTGGCGCACCCATGAGTGCAGTATAACCCAGTGATTCTTTAGGTAGGGCTAACAAACATAGGCTGTACTTTAGGTGGCGCACTCATGAGTACAGTGTAACCTAGTAATTCTTTAGGCATAGCTAACAAACATAGGCTGTACGTTAGGTGGCGCACCCAAGAGTGCAGAGTAACCCAGTGTTCTTAATGCAGTCATAGGTGTACATCAGATAGCAATACGTTTTCCATAAAACTTTGTGATGGTACAATATGCATGGCTCTTCGACTACTTCTTTATCGCTAGATACATTGTTTTAACACGCACTATTGATAGCCAGAGGACGTCTACTGTCTTAAACCATTTACGCACATCACAGAGGTAAGGTAACGTCATTTATACCTGGTATTTCGTTCAGGTACTAAAGTAATAATAATAAAAAGCATGCTTTACAAATTAAAGAGACCATATGAAAATATTACATATCTCTAAATTAAGGTTTTTTTAAATTTTCCTTTAAAAGCATAAAGCGATGTCACAACACATTTCCGCTACGAGAAAGGTTTCTTTTATAAAATTCGGTGTGGGGTTTTGGAACAGCGAGCTTGTATTTATTCAGGGGCACCCCGGCAACGACTGTTTTCTCTGAAATATCTGTTCGGAGATGCAAAAATTGCCTAGAATTTTCTATAGCTTGAGGAAGGCTGAAAATTTTTACATGACAGTTCCATTCATGTACAATTTTCGAAGCCTATCTAATAAAATCCCTATGCGACTCTCCCAAGACGGTTTTTTGGTGATTTCATTTATTTTTTCGATCCGGTTTTGTTTGTTCAGTTTTGTTTTCGCGGCTTAATTCGCAGTGAGCGAAAAAAAAAATGTATTCGTCGAAAGGAATAATTTCACTTTGGTCAGCACTGTCCTCTTTTTTTTTGCGGTATAAACTTAATTTAGCTGGGAGTGCATTACAGTTTAGTCATGACAGCTTTGGAAGAAACTGAATACGTCCGTATAGCGCCTTGCGTTTTCGCAAAACGGGGGAAATAATATTTTCCTCCAACTAGAGTGTTCACTGTGACTATCGAGTCAAGTAATTTTAAATTATTTCGTTTTCCAAAGTTCGTGCTGCTGAGAACTAGACGGCGGTAAATAAACTCAAGCCTCATTGTTTTCGCAGTAATTGAGACGAATTTATTAAACAATTATTGGATGAGGTTGAGCGTGATATCATGAATTATCAAAACCGAGGTCTGTGTTATCTGTTTTTTGAGGTTTATTCCAATATGTAAAAGGCACTACTGCTATAGGGAGCCAAGTCTGATCCAAGCAACTAAAATAAAAGGTTAAAATCAGAAAATTGAGCGACTTGATCAAAGGAGGCTACTGAAATCGGATCCCTGGCTCTCTCTTAGTCAGATAGCAGTCTATGCACTGAAACGTTACAGGGCTGTGTAATACTCCAAGACCGAAATTGCTGAAGAGAAAATGGAGTTTCTATGTGCTACTCGCAAGCCTGTGACAGAATATCTAAGCTGAAGAGCACACCAACATTAACGCAAACCGGAAATTTATAACTTTGTTCGGTTGTGGTGCGGCCAGGTACATACAATACGAATCTGGGACGAATACAGTACTTTATATCCTGTAGTACTAAGTAGCGTAACATAAGCACTCGACTAAAAAAAAAAATTGCGAAACCTTTGCCTAGATATTTAACCTGATGCACCGTTTCATAAACAGCTTTGAAGTCTTGCTCTCTACACGTTTCTTAGTAAAATGCCGTAACATATAATCTTATCCACAGTAAAGACGGCGTCTGGAAAAGCCGGTAACTGGAATAGGAACGGGAACACAAAAACAAACAGGAAGCGGAACCCAGAATAGCAACCGTAATGGAAAGAGGAACCTACATAACCTATATTAATTTAAGTTAATTTGGATTTAATTCTTATTCAGCCATAAACCAAAAAAAAGGGCAAAAAGAGAACAGGAACCTGAATAGGAAGGGGAATGGAAACAGTGCAAAGAGAAAGACATAAGAAAAAAGAAAAAGACATAATCATTATTTAAATAACTGAAAAATCCAGAGAAATAATGAAAGAAACAAGAAAAGACTTTTTGAAATATGAATCTAATTGATATAATCTTTCTTTATCTTTAGCCTGTGACACATCGCGTTTTCCTGTCAAACACAATAGCTAACTTAGGCAACGAGAACGCTGACCGTCGTGGACTTCATGAATAGCAACCGGAAGTTCAATGTTTCGCTTGATGGAACGCTTCTGTCTCACACAATGAATCCGTTTACCTTCCAGTGTGGGAATTTGATGGGTCAGAGCACTGAAAGACAGAAAATATCCACTTCCGGTTTCCATTTTTGACGTCCTGGACGTCAACGTTCTCGTTGCTTAAGGTCCCTATTGCACTCGGTTGAATAACGCCCGGAGGTAGATGAATTGCTGGCTGCCTGATGGTGATGATGGGGGGGGGGGGGGGGGGGGATGGTTGTTGGGGAAAGGTACGTGTTAATATCCTATTTTAAGTTGGACTGTCTCTTCCTGTCCAATTTAGCACAGCACGATATATACATGTAGCAAACCTGAAGTGTGTGGCAGCCCGATAAACGTCTCTGATGGGTATCTCGTTTACACATGGGTCTGACAAATAATATTAATATGTTATGTCTCATCCAAATTGTCCCAAATGAATTGTGTATAGGCTTGTGACGTCCAATGAAACAAGCATGGCACTTTTAGGCAGTTTAATCCTCTCGGTGGAGTTAATAAAGTCTGTCGTATCTTTAAGATACGAAGCTTGTAGTTGTGCTATTGGCTGAATAAGGTGGTCACAAATGCTGAGATCCTTTCTGTAGGTCCGGAACACCCTGAGATAATAGGTCTTCCGATGTAAAACACTGGGATTCGCAGAGGATCAGGCGTAAGGGAGAGCCATTTAGCCGTCCATATATGGGCTATATAGGTATGTGCGCCTGTGAAGGGTATGGTTTTTAAGCAGTTTACTCTAGGATAGGGCATATAAATCAGAACATTTGGGTCTAGAATAGGGTATCATTTTTCAGGAAACTGATCAGTTGGTTGAAGATTTTGTCTAGACTAGGGAAACAGCTACTCTAGGATAGGGAGTTTACTCTAGTATAGGGTAGCAAAATTTTGCTGAACTAGCTCCGGTATAGGTTAAGGGTTCCAGGGTCCTAGCGGCACATCCCCACCCAGAAATTCCTTAAGTACCCTTCCGCCCCGGGCGTTTTATCAATATGGCCTTCTGAGATAAGTGTTCTAATAAGTTGTTGAGCTGTTTTAGTTGCAGTTTCAACCACTGGTTTGTCTAGAGGTCGGTAGTTATTTAAATCATTAAGCAGAACCTGACCTTCGTTTAGTTTGTCTTGTTTTCTCATCAATACGGTGGTGTTACCTTTATCAGATTTCTTAAGAATAATGCTTTTGTTGCGCGAAAACTCTTTGAGAGCTTGGCACTCTCTCGTAGATATATTATCTTTTGGCTTGTCAAATTCAATACTTGCGAGCTCTAATTTTACCAACCTCGTCCCCAGGGCCCCACCCATTTTTTAAGGGAAAAGCCCTGGGGACGAGGTTGTAATTTTACCTCCTCTAGGAAGGTCTCTAGAGCTACAGGTGGCTGGACTGGTGGTTCCCGGTCCGACTTCACATGGGTGTAGTGATAAACTTTGGACCACGCGATAGTAGAGTAATTTTCTCTTCTGCCAGTTGTTCATTTATACTGTTTGCGTGACTCAATGGCATTACAAAAGCGCTTTTTGTCTTTGATTTTTCTCCGCTCCTTTCTTTTGCGGTTTTTGGCCGCTTTGTTATCTCTGCGGTTTGCTTTCCCTTTTCCCCTTACTTCTAAGGAGTCTGATAAGAGACAAGAGTAAGATTCACTTTGTTTATTCGCACACAATTGTGATCTCATTTGTTCTAACAATACATCGACTTCGCTAATCTTGGTCTTCAATTCTTCGGCTAGCTCGTTTTACATTGTCATCTCTGTTGACAGTTTTCTTTCTAGCTAGTGATTGCGTTTTCTGTTGAGACGTGTGTTTAGTAACAGTATTCCTGCGAGATTTATACTGTTCGAGTTTAGGAAGCTTGTTTGTTAATCGTTCTGCTCGCCTGTGGTGATATTTCACCAGCGTTCCTACGAGAGCCTGTTCTGCTTTTTATCTGATCGAGCCTATCTCGTTCTTAAACCACCGCCTCAGTTCTTCGTCAGGTGTTGACTCGTTTGAGGCCACATTAGCTCGCGATGTGTCAACTCCTTCTTGTGCTGATCGAATGATTCTTCTCACAAGTTCTTCGATTCCTTTCTCTGCCCTGTCTAGCGCGGGAATGGGCAAGAATGGGCGGGATTCTTCATGGAGCCTTGCAGATTTTTGTGTTTCAGTCCCTCTTGGAAACAAAACTGATCAAAAATTGTCGTCTCCATTCTTGATTTAAAAAACATGCATCTTGATTTAGAAAACGTGTCTCTTGATACATGACATGAAACACGTGGGAATTGGAATTAAATTCTACAATCTTGACACATTCAAAAAGCAAATTGACGTTAATTTTATCGATCTTGATAGTGATTTGGTGGATTTGAATTGGAAAGTCGCATCTTTGATATTTTGTCACTTTTGGCGAAGCATATAAATGCCTAAAATGTCAAAATATTAAACAAGATAATTCTCAGGTAAAATAATGTCAACTGGAGTATTTTTGAAGAAGGAGGAGTATAAAAGATGAAGCTTCTTCAGTGTATTGGAAGTAGCGGGTGAAAGTCGGTTAAGCTCGTCACGTGTATATCACCGGACGTAGACCCTTGGCACACTCCCAGGCACACTCTTACGCAAATGAGATTAATTGAAGTGAACGGATCCACGGGCAAGCAACTTTGCTTTGTTAAACTGCCGAGCTTTATTTTATAGACGGCTTTTTTAAGGTCCAGGGTTCTCAAAATTTTTAACAAACATGAGATGTTAACTTCTCAAACTCATTAATAATTCATTAAGAAAATACAAAGGAAATTAATGTTTAATGAGTGTTTGGAAATCGGATGAAACACTGCTTAGTATTTGCATCCTTAATTTCTCCTTCAAAAATGATTTTGTTTGAGAAGAAATATCAAACATTCGACACAGTGTTTCATCACCAGATGAAACACCTCGAAGTTCGTCAAAAATACTCCGCTGCACGTCGTATTTTCAACTCTCTTCTCGGTGTTTCATCTGGTGATGAAACACTGCATCTCATGTTTGATATATTACTTGAAAACATTAGAGAAAATGATGGAGAGAGAGGGATGAAGAAATTACCAGAAAGCTGTCACGCACCTCCAACGCACACATTCCAGCGGACATCACGACTACGGTAACATAGGTGATAAGACGGCAAAATGAAACAACTTGGAGCATGAAGTACAACAGATATAGGTTAAGGTGAGCTTTTTAAAAAAATTGTTCTATATATCAAGGCTACCAGCGTTGTAAACGGAAACCTAAAGTCAAATTGTTGGTCTTGTGACTCATGTGTTGGATGGCGTTATTTTATGTTGTCTGTAACACGAATTTCAAATAATTTCTGAGAAGCTCAAAATGATTTCCCCAAAATAATTTTAACATAACGTAATAGTTTGATGCTTGTAGTGTTTTCCCCTTCAATCTTGAAAAATTCTGATCAAAGGCACATGATGAAAATAGTCGCTTTTTTCAACTACCTTCCGTGGTTGAACAACAGGTAGACGTACGCTTTAGCCTTTTTTATAATTACTCAGACTGTTGTAATGCTAAAAATATTATCTATTTTGGTCAACGACGAGTTATACTTACAATTTTAGCAACAAGCACGCGGTTGTTTTGAAATGCAAGTCGAGCAAATCATAGTGAATTTCAACCCTGTTTTGGGCTTGCGAAATCGACGGCGGGGCTTGAAACGGTTTTCTTGTTTTTCTCGGAAACGAACAGGTCTTTAGAAGAAAAAACTTCATGGCGTTTGTACACTTACTTAAGTCTATCAGTATGCAAGAGAAGAGCGATTTTTATTTTTTGAGCCTTGCCGCACTTTGGTCGATATTTGCATGGAGTTGCTCTTAAACTTGCTACATTTTTTACCTTCTCTTTGCCGTAATATAAAGAGATTCAGGGGGAGCATGATTACAGAATAGTTTTCTTATTTTTCATATAAATTGAATTAGAATTAGAATAAATTAAGGTAATGGTTCCCCTTTAGATCACTGTTCCTGTTCCGTTTCCGTTTCCGGTTCCCGTTTCTGTTCCCATTCCTGTTCCTATTCTGCATTCCGGTTTCCTGCTTTTCCTGACGCCCGCTGCATGAAAACGAGAAGTCTTCTAGAACTGTCAAACCAACAGCTTATAATAAAAAGAATTAACCTATTACACCTATCCCACTCGATCCACGCACTGCACTGAGACTATAAATAGCTGATAATCGTTTTTAAAATTATGGTCGACACGAACATTCAGGCCACAAGATAAAAATTGTTATGTTCCAAATTTTTTTCCTTTCGTTTCTTGTTATTTTTAAATCACTCATCTACAGTTTTTACCATGTTTAACGTTGTCTTGGCACGCGTTGATAATTTTCAAGATATATATTAACGAAACCAAGCTGGATTTTGTTTCTTTTAACGACAAAAATCCTCAAAGACGACGGAAATTTGTTGGCCAATGTGACTTTCCCATACAAGACTCTTATTCTCGGTTTTCACATGACGTCACCAAAATTCAAACTAAGAAACTGTCCATTCTTCTGAGCTTCATGAGGTATTACAGCACCTAAACACCTTCACTTAAACAAAGTTTTGGTTCGAAAGGGTTCTTCAATTGCGATAGACGACGTTTGAATTTCCAGGCTTTTGCGTGACGCGGCATTTAGCTGGCAGCCGGGTAGGCTCTTATGAGGGTTAAAAACATTACCAGTTTTGGGAGATTTTGCCATCTAAACATTCCTTGTCTCAGAATGAATATCCCTATTAATCCTTTATGAATTTTTCAAGCGATAAATTCACGCATTAGTAGGAAAACTCAAAAACAGATGTTTCTGTTGGTTTAATTTCCGGTTGCCACATTTGTGCCCCTCAAAGGGACGCGAGCATGGCGTCTCCATGCAAAACTTTTTAAATTTGGGTAAAACGTTTTTCCAAATATCTCACATGAATATCGCACAGACCTGATTCTTGGCGAGGTCTTTTGCATATTTATCTTTTTTTTATTTCCTAGATTCTGGACTTTCTGTATTAAATGGTTCGCAATTAAATTTTTGATTGCGTAACACTGAAAACCGAGAATACTGGTCAGGTTCAATGTCTGAGTCACAGCAGGGACCAGAAATTTGTGACGTCATTAGTGTAATGCGCTATTTAGTATATTTGCAAAACATTTACCTCGCCAATTTTAAGCGTATATATTTCAAAGAGAAGTCTAATTTTTTTAACCAAGAATTGTTAGCTCGACTTTCTCCCATTAATTTAGTAATACACCGGTTCAGCCTAAGACCTGAAGTTACATGAAAGCGAGGCCTAAGGACTATCTTTCGCGCGATTACTCATAAACATGGCGTCCTCCACTAAACAAAAGAATTCGAGTCACAAGTGTTGCGCTTCTGTTCTTTGCAATAATCGTTCAGATAACCGACCAGATTTAATTTTTCATAATTTCCCTCTGGACGAAAATCTTGGAAAAATAAATTGGCCTCGAACAGCTCACTCTTCTGCTGTTCTGAACATTTTAGTGAGAAGGACTACAGGAAAAGCCTTACCGGCAAAAGACGTGATCTTGTAAAGAATGCTGTTCCTTCCATTTTCCCATGGTCAGTTGGCAATGACGAAGCCTCTGAAAGGTCCGAAAGAGACAAAAGTCGGAAATGCCAAAGGATTAAACTTTCAGCGATCCCATCCAAGAGTATCGAAAATAAACATCACTCATACGATGCACCTGACATCTCTGCAAAGGAGACTCAAGAGGAAGATTCAGGTGAAAAACCATTTGAAGAAGAGAGAGACTTGGTTGCCCAGAATTATGATCTTAAGCAAAAGCTGTTCCTTTGAAAATTTGGTTTGGAGCGGTTGGATCGAATGATGATGACATATTTTTCTACACGGGATTTCAGAATCACCGAGCTTTGTTGCATTTTGGAACTTTATTAAACCTTGCTCTGAGTCTCTGATGTCGTGGAACACAGCACGCGAAAGAGTGAAAGAAAGCTCCACAAACAATGTTAATCCATTTCCCTTTTTGCAAGGACAGGAGAAACAAAGAAATAGAAAGAGAGAAATAGAGCCCATCGATCAGCTGTGGTTGTTTCTAACAAGGGTGCGTCTTGGCTTATTTGAGCGTGACTTGGCTCATAGATTTAGTGTCTCTGTAAGTACCGTGTCTGATGTTTTTATTACTTGGGCAAACTACCTTTACATAATGTTGGGAAGTTTGCCTTTATGGCCTTCAAGAGACAAAATAAAACAAAACTTGCCAGATTCTTTTAATGGAAGGTATGAAAACGTACGTGGAATTCATGATTGCACAGAGCTGAAATGTGAGTTTCCCAAGGATTATCAGAAGCACTCAGAAATGTACTCAGACTATAAATCTCACGACACTTTTAAAGGGCTCATCTGCATTTCATCGAGTGGATGGATAACATTTGTTAGTCAGTTGTATCCAGGAAGAATAAGTGATAAGGAAATTGTGGAGAAGAGTAATTTCTGTCAGTTAATTGAAATGGGGGACCAGTACCTTGCCGACAAGGGCTTTGAAATCCATGACCTAATGGGCCTCAGAGGAGCAAGTTTATGTATACCTCCAAAGAGATTTTCTGTCAATGACCAGTTCACACAAAGCCAGTGTTTTGAGACCATGAGTATAGCAAATGTGCGTATTCATGTGGAAAGAGCAATTAAGCGAATCAAGGCTTAGCATATTTTTAGTCAAGTTCTGCCTCTTTCCAGCTTTGGGTCCATAAATCAGATCTGGACTGTATGTGCTTTGTTAGTAAATTTTCAATATCCAATTATTACAGTTTAAAGAAAGGAAGCTTTCAGTTTTTTGGATGGGATGGGTTCTTATATCAGGGAACTAACAAGTGTGTTTTTTAGGAATTGAATGTTAAACTAAAGATTCTGAAGCTGTTCAGCTGTTTGTATAAGTCTCTGGTTCGGGTTTTCAATAATTGGAGGACTTGATATGTGAAAAAGTGAATTTCAAAAATAATATTATTCTATCAAATGCACATGGGTAGATTGGGTACTCAAATTTAAAACTGATGGAGACTGACTGTGATTGACGAAAATATATTTGTTATAATAATGATGATGGTGATATAATATAGAAAATAAAACCAAAATCTGTCTTTTTTTTCGAAACTAAAAATCTATCTGTAAGACAAATCCTAAAAAATAACAGTCAAAATTTTCAAAAACAATACACAAAAATATCTAGTTTCACCTTCCCTACCACCACCATCCCATCACTTGTAAAGTATAATTTGAATACCATTCCTTGTGCTTTAGAACATACTAAAGCACACAGGCATTTTGTTAGAGTCAACTTATATTTTCCAAGAAACTAATAGTGTTGCTTTGCAGTTCTAAAACCACAACTGTTTTTGTTTTGAGATATATTTCTCGTGAAAAGCAGTTAAACTAGGCGTAATTTCGTCCTCCCACCTTGACGATGATGTGACCTTAAGAACCAAAACTGGAAATGTGTTGCTGGTAAATATGACAAAGTCAGTTAATGGAATTCCACTGACCCCCATTTGCATCTGGGACTGAAACCAATATTTGTGCTTTTCTTTTACTACAAAAACAGAGTTCAGTTCCATAAATGGGAAACTGCTTTCCTTTTGATGATTATTTATTGCAGTCTCTGGTGACATATCCTGCTTAGACTCTAAACATTTTACTTCCACATTTCTGTATTCAATGTCACCATTGGCATACACTATTGTTGCAATTCTGTCAGGGCTTGCTGCAAGAACATCATTTTCTTTGTCTAAAATTGATCCAGTCTCTTGAACTGTCAGTTCCTTGATGTCTGGCAATGACAAGAGATATTCTTTGTACAAATCAGCTGCCACAGGTTCATTTTCAATACCAACGATCAATCCTTTGTGAGTAGCTGACCATTTTTTGGGGTGCTCCTTTTGCTGTAATTTTTTTTACTAGATTTTCTGGTAATTTTGACCCCTGTTTTTGCATATGAGAAAAGACATCTTTACAGATACTGGAAGTTATTCTTTTTTGCTTTTGTTCAAACCAAGCAGAATTTATTGATTGCCCTCTTGTTGCCATTTCAATTTGCATTTGTCTTTCTGTAAGAGTTTCAATAAATAATGTTTCTGTTTGGACTGTTGGCAGTTGTACTTCAGATGGATCAATTGTACTTTCAATAAAACTTGAAATATTCTGTTCTTGCTGTTGGTTATTAACACTACAATCTACTGAAATCTACTGAAGCTGTAGCTCATCATAAGCATTAGAAAGAGTGCTAAGGGGTGCCATTTCTGATTCACATTGCACAGTGGAAGGTGGAGGAGAGATTTCATGATTCAAACTTGAATTTGAATTCAGTGCTTGCCCATTTGAGACAGGATTCACATTTTCTTTACCATCAAGGGAGGAACTACTAAAAAAGGGTACTACCAAATTAGGAGGCTGTTGGGAATAATCTTGAAGTTGCTTATGAATTGTTGATCCTTTAGCAACAGTGCCAACTATAGTCATTACTGTTCGAATTGTCTTTTCCTCTGGTAACATAGCAACAAAGGGTATACGAGCATTTATTTTCTAAAGCTTTCTAAAGATCTTGCCTCAGCTTTACAATTCCATCAGCATCAAGCTTCTGTGATTTCAGTGGTCTGGGATCGTAAAACTGAGAGTCAATACTCCTCTTCTTCCTACCAGGTAAGTCAGACGCATGTCTTGGTTTTGTTATTTTTAAAGCCATCACTGGAGAGAACTCTACTTCTCGTCTACCCCCTTATCCCCATTCCCTCGGTTTTCTTGTGCAGCATCTGTTGTCAGGAGTGATATTTTTTAGCTCTGACTTTCTCGTCATGTCATCAAGTTTCCATATGAGCGCCATAACATGACATCAACACCCACTGTTGGAAGCCGGGCACTGCCTATCACACTTTGCTGCTAGAATCTTTGGGGTCCCGCTTTGTTTACAAACCATTTTCACCTTGTATTCAACATTCCTCATATAGGAAGCCCAACAGCAAGCACGGACGTATGTGATGTTACTTTCCGTGTTATTATACACCTGTAAATCGCGCACAAAATTGACCATACGGAGGCCTATGTCATTTGAGTTTATAACAACTGCTGCATTGGTAAATTTCTTCATGGATTTACCGGAATTTTGTACCTGCTCAAAAGCATCCATAGGCACAAATAGGGGTAAAACAGAAAAAAGCCTCTGAAAATTGAGTGTTTTCATCCGGTGGGATAGTGTCTAAAATCGAACTACACGAGCTTGCTTGTTGGTCGATCAGCTCAGTCTGGACTGTTTCGATATTGAGGGTCTTTAGCTTTTCAACCTTTGCTTTCGTGCAGTTCCTCTCAGGATCAGGGTTGTAAACTTTCTCTCTGTAGTAAGGAATCGTGTTTATTGCCTTAACCCTGCCCCCGAAAAGACAAGATTTTAGCGAAAACGATATTTTTTTGACTAACGTGAAAGGTTAGATAACAGTGTTTATGTAATACAGGTGCTGCGAAACTTACTTTTCGACAAGATCTTTCTTCAGTCCCTGTTGGTTCAGTCTTCTGCATTTCAACCAAAATTTCAATTGTGGAATTGTCCATTTACTTATGTCTTCTCCATTTTTTCACGGATGAACATGGAATGTCTTCTGGTGTAAGGTTTACATCAGAAGACATTTCATGTCTTCCATGCAAACTGTCGGTGTCTTCAGCCAAGATTTTTGAGATTCGCGCGAAAGATAGCCCTTAGGCCTCCCTTTCATGCAACTTCCGGTCTTAGGCTGAATCGCTGTATTATACATGTACACTATTTAACAAATAGATTCCATGTTGCCGTGCGTCTGTTCAGTAATAGATCACAGATGACGTCAAAATGTGGTAAAAACAAAGAAGTGGCACACGAGCCGCAGGCGAGTGTGTCACTGACCTTTTGAGGATTTGTGCTAGTTTAGGCATTTTTTAAGTCCCAAACCCTACTTTTTATCTTAGCTTCTTCTTTATCTTACTTGTGTACAGTTTCTTCGAAAAGTTTTTCACCGTCTTTTCTTCCTCAAAGAAGAATAATAGCGAAAAAATTTTGCAAAACAGCGAGTCTCTCGTAGCGAAGACACACGATGGCAACTGTTGTGAAGATTTCTTGTAGTTTAGGTATTGTCAAGTAGTCAATAGCTTTTTTGGTCTCCGTTTCTCCATTTTTCTTCTTTGTAAATAGCTCCTGCTTAACTTTTTCCGAAGCTTTCACTTGCCTCAATCCGAAATAATCTCACAAACATTTTCAAAACCGCGTGCCATGTTGAACAAAACAAAGAAAACAAGTTTCCTGTGACGTCATCCACGTATCTGTACTCTAATAGATCATGGGCAACGACCAATCACAGCGCGCGTAGCATTCACATCATTGTATAAATAGCTATAGATAGCATTGTCTTCGGAGGGTTATTTAAGTATTTTTGACCATGCAACTTTAAAAAATTATATCTCTGTTGTTATTTACAATTCCATATAAAGATATACCTCATTGGAAAGGGCAAAGATTAAACTTTCAGAAAAAAATATTTTAGTCTCAGGAAACCCATAATATTCTGCAAAAAAAATTAACAAGGCATATTTATGCCCAAAAAAATTTTCAAATTTATAAACAATGTCATTTTGCCACGAAATCTGTCTATTTTGTGTAATATGGTAGTAACAAGTTCTTCAATATCTAAGCAAAACAACCGGAAAATCGTTCGAAAATATAGAGCAACTTGGAATTTTCAACAAATTTATTTTGAGACGCTATCAGATTATGCTAATCGGATTATCATAATTATCATAATGACATTCAATACATCGGCGTCCCTCGTGCTCAAGTGGTTTACTTTACCCAGACGCTTGTTTTCTTCGGTTTCCATCGAAATATCGAGTTAAAGACCAACCCTACCTCGGTTCTCTCCTACCGGGCTAGGAGAGAACCGTGGGAACGAGGTTGGTTAAAGACAAACAAGTATGAATTTGTCGATATAATTCATCAAAATAAGGGAAAGTTCATTTAATATGACAAGGGGAAGGAATTCATTGTATTTCAACAACCTGTGCTGCAGACTTAACGAATCGGCGATCGGCAAAAGATTCTTACTATTTTCATTGATATGTTTGAAATTTTTAGCAGTTTTCCCCCCCTGGGACCCTTGCCCCCGGGTATTGAGCGTGTTTTAAATTTTTCAGGATCACCAGATGGCGTTTCTTGGTTCATGCCCCGAAAATATATTTTTTTTGTGTGCCGTTCCGGTTTTCGTCGCTGAGCATGGCCTAAGCTCCTGACGCTATCCTTCCTTATGTTTTGGAAGCCGTTCGCGCTACTATGATACCTCCTTCGAGTTACCTTTTATAGCGTGAGTCGCTTTCAGACTGGATTTCATGGTGGGTATCATTCTCCATTTCATTTCATAGCGTGCGTCGCTTTCAGTTGTTACAGCATGTGTCGCCGTCACGTTGGTTTTTCTCGGCGTGTGTCGCCCTCCCAGTTAGCCATTTCTGGCGTGAGTCGCTTTCACTAGTTTTATGGTGTCTTTCGTATTTTTCTCTCCGTTTTGTGTTTATAGCGTGTGTCGCTTATAAGTTTGTTTTCATGGAGTGTGTCGCCTTCCAGTTAGCCATTTCTAGCGTGTGTCGCTTATAAGTTGTTTTCATGGCGTGTGTCGCCTTTAGGTTGTTTCTACGGCGTGTGTCGCCTTCCGGTTAGCCGTTTCTGGCGTGTGTCGCTTTCACTAGTTTCATGGTGTCTTTCGTATTTTGCTCTCCATTTTGAATTTGTAGCGTGTGTCGCTTATAGGTTGCTTTCCTGGCGTGTGTCGCCTTCAGGTTGTCTTTACGGCGTGTGTCGCCTTCAGGTTGTTTTCACGGCGTGTTTCGCCTTACAGTTAGCCATTTCTAGCGTGTCGCCTTCAGGTTGTTTTCTTGGCGTATGTCGCCTTCAGGTTGTTTTCACGGCGTTTGTCGCCTTTAGGTTGTTTCTACGGCGTGTGTCGCCTTCCGGTGAGCCTTTCCTGGCGTGTGTCGCTTTCACTCTAATTTCATGGTGTCTTTCATATTTTGTTCTCCATTTAGTGTTCATAGCGCGTGTCGCTTACAACTTGCCCCGGCATGTACCACCTTGAAGTTGTTGTCTTGGCGTGTGTCGCCTTAAGGTTAGCGGCATGTTCTCAGACTAGTTTTTGTAGCGTGTGTCGCTCTTAGGTTTCCTCAGCCGTTTTATAGCGCGTATCCCTTTCAGGCTGGTTTGTTTATGGTATTTTCTCTCCCAGTTTAGTTTTCGTAGTTTGTGTCACTTTCAGTCTAGTATTTGGCATCTTCTGCTCTTATTTATTCAGTATGTCGTTCCTCCCTTTTGGGATCGTTTTTCATGGTGTGTTGCTTCTTTTGTCCTCATGTGCGGCGCGTCATTTTGGTCTTGTATTTCACATTTTCTATACTTTGCGGTCCGTGTTTTTTCTGTATGCGTGCCCCTTCGCATATCCTATAGTTTGTCGCGTTTTTTATTCACGTTCGTTGTTGCTTACGTTTTCTTTTCCGCAACTAGTTCCAGTATTCGGAAATGTTTCTTCTCTATTTCTTTGTTTGTTCGTCAGTGTTATAGAAGTTAAAACATTAGTTTTTTCTAGTTTATTTCCTCGGGCCCTTTTGTTTTCTCGTCTTTTATTCACTTGGCATTTTTAAGCGATGTTAAAGTGTTAAGCTTCCATTGCCAGTACGCACGGCACGTGCTTTTATCATCGATTTTTCCTGTTTCGAACTTAGAATTCATGATCATGGCATCTCTGTTCTGTTTTGTTTACAAATATCAGTGCGCGATGAACACACTGGGGGGGCTCTTAAACGGAAGACGGCCGCTTTCATCCTGTTATTTGGAATTAGTCATCCGCGGTTCTATGGTTTAGCTGCCTGGGCTGTTTTCTACGTTCCAGATTTATTCGGCGTTTGCCATTTGTTGTTAGTTTTATGGGCTTGTAGTTATTTATGCAGGTTCATCTCGACTACATGTATACCTCGTGTCACGCAAATCGGCCCATCGCTTTGTTTTGGTTAGTTTTTTCTTGTGTGTTGTTTTACTCGCTTCGAGAAATGTGTCGTTATTTCACGACTTTCGGTCTTGTGCTCCTGGTATCAGTCCGGTCGATCTGGGGCGGGTAGTTCTAAATTATGCCCGATACTCTGTCTGTGACGGGGTTCCTGGATCGGCCTGGTTGGTGGCTCCCCTTTTCCCCCTTTATTACTTTTTCCAGTTTCGGTTTAAAGCTTTCACGTGGGTTATATGTGCGTTGCCTTCGTGGTAATCTATTTCCAATTATTTCGCTTTTAGGCACTGTTTAACTTCGGTTAAAACGCACGAGTTTCCGTCAGATCTTATCATCCCTGGTGTAACTGGAAGGGGAGCCCGCCAGTTGGGCCGGTCCGCTCCCGTCTCCCTCATCGGTCTCCGCTATTTGTTTGGCTTTGGGAAGTCGACCCTTGTTCCCACGCAAACGTCGGTGTTTCTGTGGTATATCATAGATTTTCCTTACACTACGTTTTTAATGCCCCTAGATAAGGCGGTTAAACTTGCTTCTTTTCAAGAAAATATGCTTAGCCACAAGACGGTATTTCTAAGTCTCTGCAGAAGTCTGTGGGAAGATAAACCACCTGCGGCCAGGTTGTTTTCTCGTGCGGCGTGATTGGCCATATCACACGGCACTGGCGTCAAGAGCTTTCCCGTGATTTCGACAACGATTTTTCTAAGGTTGTTGGCTTAGTGGCGAAATTCGGCGCTCGGGTACAAATTATTTTCGCCCATATCTTAGTATTCCCCTCGTGTGCCATAGAGGTGCAGCATATCAATGAAAATTCTCCTACTGTTTTGTTATCTCCATTTTCGTGTTTGTTTTGCTTGTTATCCTCCAGAATCCTTCAAAATAATTTGCTTGACTTGTATTTGCAGTATTTGGTTGAAATTCGTCGATACAAGCTTTCATTCTTCGCAAAAACCGCGACAAATAAATCCCCAGTGGCGACGCCTTTTGAAAAATCGTTGCGTAAAACTCAAAACACCCCGGGAGCTGGAACTAAACACATATTTGGCTAAATCTATTTTAAAACTTTCTGTGGGCCAAATTTGGAGGGAATCGGAAGTAACGCGTTTTTTTGCGATTTTTTTTCGTCATCGTACTAAATTTAAAGGGCCTGAAGACAATGAGTTTGCTGTATTGAGGGAGTTGGATCGAGCGTGACAGTTACATGGTGATAATCAGTGTGCGAACTCCACTAAGGGACGGACCATTAGAAAAATTATGGGGGGGGGGGGAATTTTCGAGCCGCAGGAATTTTTTTTCGTTATCAAATTCCTTGTGTGAATTTTTTTTAGGCTGTAGCATAAATATTTTGTAGGGTTAATTGGCGTGCATGATTTTTTTTCATTTAATTTTCCCTTGTGCGAATATTTTTTTTGTACTCCCCCCCCCCCCCACACACGATAAGTTTCCTAATGGTCCGCCCCTAATTTAGCATGCGATTTTGCAATTTTTAATTCTGCAACTGAAGCTCAAAAGTTACGTTACCAGCCGCATTGAAAGAAGTTGAGGAATATTACCAGGTGTCGTGAATATTTTATTGAGAAACCTAACTTAGTTATTGCAACAGTTAACAGACGCAGTAAAGGGTGTTATGCTTCACTGTCTTCCTTCAGCTTGGCTTAGTGTTAATTGCATGGGAGAAAACAAGAGAGGTTTATACTCACCTAATAATTTATCTTTTCTTTGGTGATGAAAACTACAGACAGCAAGAAGCATTTAGACATTTAATAATATTAATTTCAAGGTTTTAAAATATTGAATCAGGATTGATTCAATTCAAATTTTAATATGTGCATATGACGATTTAATGGCGATAAAGTCATGCACCGTGGAATTTTACGATTTTAGTCAAAAGATGGTAGATCGAGTTTATTTATATTCCATTACCTTGAAAAGCTTCAACCAAGTGAACGCTCCTTTGATTTCCTACACTTTTATCGTTTGAAATACTAATAATCTTGGCTGGGATGTAGGTCTATTAGTATGTGCGTGTTCGTGTTGTTAACAAGTGTATTGTTAGAAAGCGACGCACCAGGCAGATTAGTCTAAAATGTCAGCCGTCTCGGAGTTAGGGGGTTAGGGTCAATACCTACCAAATTTGAACATAAACTACGTCGCCATCAATGAAGATTTGGAAAAATGATCACCATAGCTGTATTTTAGATAAAGATGGACATTTGTTATGATCAGTGTTACAATGACAGCGGAGTTGTCATAGTAACAAAATGACACCATTATCTATTTTTACTTGCAGCCATATTTCTCGACCTTGTGAAGTGTTTTACCAAAATCGTTCACGGGAACTTTTTCCTCCAATAGCTGCCTCGGTGTTCGTGAAGTTTAATAGAGATCTACGAGAGCACTCTCGAGATTTTTTGAGATAAAATGTTTCTGGTTGGAAACAGAGTAAAAACTGGACAATCTTGATTTCTGCCGTTATCTATAGAAATAACGAAGCGCTCTGGAATTGCAATCCATGTTGTAAATCAACTGAGAACACGTGACCTTAGAAAAAAGTAAACAAGTGTGGAGTATTAGATATATTTCTTCCAATTCACGAACTGAAACTGCTGTTAAAAGTTATAATTAGTTTACGAGTTTTCGATTGATTTGTTTTGAAATAGGCAGAGTACAAGATGGTACTGAGCGATGCAGAAGTGAGCCTTGTAACCGTACTGTACGCCTTTACGATGGTTGCAGCTATTGTAGGCAACTCTTTTCTGATATATATCGTGTGGAAAAAACCTGAGGTACGGTCACTGGCAAGTTCTATGTTCGTCAACATGGCCATAGCCGATCTATTGGTGGCCCTGTTCATGATGCCTCTTTCCATTGTCAGCGCTCACACGAAAAGTAAGTGGAAGGTACCTGGGTTGCCTGGTGACATCATCTGCAGGAGCTATATTCTAACTTCCGATGCCACCCTCATTGCGTCTATCCTGTGCCTGGTTTTTATGGCGATCGACAGGTACTGCGCCGTTGTCTGTCCTCTATCGGTCCACTCTGTGTGGTTCAGAAAGGCAAAATTTGTCACACCTTTGATCTGGGTCATGTCAATCGCTCTAATGGCTATCATGCCTGTCATCTACAAATTTGATAATGGATACTGCGAAATTGACCCAGATGTTTTGGGCCAGAACCCGACATTTCGTGGTGTTTACGTCTACATTTTCCTCATCACCTACATAATTCCTCTGGCCATCATATGTCCGCTGTACGCGAAAGCTGCTCGTATGCTATGGTTTAACCAGGCTCCAGGCAATCATCTGATTGAAGAGCAACAGCGTCGACAGCTGGTTACAAGAAGGAAAGTGGTCCGCATGCTCGTCATCATTGTTGTGGTGTTTGCTATTTGCTGGCTTCCCGCGCAGGCAATACACCTTTTTTGGGCAGCAACAGCTTTTCGTCAAGACCTGCCAGCAATTGTCATGTACCTGGGATTTTGGGTGGCCCACGCAAACAGCGCCATCAACCCTTGGCTGTATATTGCCTTAAGCACCAAGATAAGATTGGCCTTTAACCGGATGGTAACCTTCCGAAAATCTCATCCGGCCTTGAGGAAAAGTACCCAGGGAACGAGTCACTCAACTAAAGCCTCGACATTCCAGGAGGCTAGGGTGTAGTCATACGAACCAGGAGACCAAGAGTAGAAGGCATATGATATTGAGCTAGCAAGTTTAGACATTTAACCTTTGCCTTTTTAATGCACGCAATAACTGCAGATTACTTAATGCAGTGGTAAGTAGTGGATGAAATAGAGATAAAGTCATGGACTAAAAATTTAAAATAGAGATAAAGTCATCGACTAAAAATTTAAAATAGAGATTCCCTTCATGATTTTTGCAGGTAAGTGTGGTATTAGTAGAAGTTTTTTAACGTATTTATTGGTTCAATATGTAAAGTACGGAATGTTTTCTTAAAAATAAAAAAGCCTTGTAAATAATGCTTTTTTAAACTGTAGTGAGAGCTTGACACGTATCGGAGTAAATGCATTTTAGATCTATATTGGCCCAGTGCACTTACGCATTTTAAAATAACCTACTAAATTTAGTTTACTAACTGTTTTGTTGGATAATGTATTAAATAATGTATTGATTAAAAACACATACACAAACAAACAAACATTAATGATGACATGTAACGTAACATAGAAAATAGATGCTACTTGAAAGTTTTCAGCTTTGAATAAATGAAAACTATGCCATGTCTGAGTATGTTTTCTTCGGGTCACTTTTCTTGGCATCCAATGTCCATTATCGGACATTTAATGGAGCAATTCGCAGGGGCATGAAGTCTCTGAGTCTTTGCATAATCCCTCGCCCAAACCAATGACAGGTCCGGTTAGCTCAATTAGACCATGATGCCCTGAGTTTATGCCCTGCATTTCCAAACAGTTCCATGAGTGCATGTAATCCTTTCTAGATTACAGGGTCGTTCAACAGCGTTGAGTCTTTGGTTTAAAATTGCAGTAAACTTGACTAAGTGACAATTCACCAGTCCTGCAAAATTGAGAAAACTTTATTTTCAACCTGAAGGAACTCTTTTTTTAAGAATTAAGAGCAAATGTCTGTAAAAATCGAGCAAAATCGAAATTTCGCGGCCACAGTCAAAAAATCATTTTCACTCATATCTTGTCCATAGATAGGCATAAGTAAGTAACTAAACGTGGTGTAGTTTGTTTTTCAGAAGTCCGATTGGATTTGGAGAAAATCGACAAAATCAATTTTCGTGGTCGGGGACTTGAAAACAACCAAAATTTAAGGCGAAATGAGGCAATCTCAAAACTTCGCTCGCACGCACACAGGAAGATAGCGAGGTAAAATATTTCCGAATAAATCAATTTATAAAGGGTTCTACTTCTGGTTTGGTGATGAATTCTTATCTTAACGATAATCTGGAAGATAAACAATGTTATTTTAGTTTGGGTTCTTTTTCGACTAAACGAAATTTAAATTTAGGTTGAAAGTTGCGTTTTTATTTTAGGCATGTGCTACACCTTGGTTTTGCCTGAAACTCACGTCATTTGTTTTTTAAACATTGTGCTAAAACATATGTAACAATTGGCCTGGGTAATTAAATTTGTACTTCACACGAACCTTCTGAAGTTGAATAAATTTTGCTTGAAATATGAGACTTTTCAAGAAAGTCGGTTGGTTGTTGCTCGACAAGTCAGGATGGCTGGGCTCTCCAAACGAAACTTAACTCACAGTCGCACTTGTATTACAGACATTTGTGCTGAAACGATAATTTTTGTTACCTCAAATGCGTTTTCCCGTTCTTGTCAACTGGCTTTGCGCCTTGTCCCATGCTGTTCAACCGAAGATCCAAAAACTCGAGGAAACGTGGTGCGTGAAAATAACCTCAAACAGAACATGGCCTATCTTTTCCGCAGTCACACTTTTACATCCATTGCCATTTAAAAACTGCGATTTTGATGGTGAAACTTTCGGGCTGCTGATACCTCATTGGTCATAAAAGTCTGGTCAAAAGTGTTGCGTGACAGTATTCACAGGCTTCCCAATCTAACCATTTGAGCGACGCCTTTTTTTAATGTTCTTGCCAGAAGTAGCATATTATGCTACTAACAACCCAAATCATGTTTTTTTTTTCTTTTTTCCTAAAGTGTGCTTCCATACAATACTAAGTAAGTCCAACAATATCGTTTTTCTCGTCAACTTTCCCCCGTTGCCTTGCATGTGCCTTTAATTGACTTCAGGCTTCAATCTCAGCTATTTCATCGCGTTATTACCTATCAGGCAGCTGTCTTTCCTCTCGTGTATGCAAGTTCCATTTTTTTTGATAACAGTTTTCGTAAACACTCTGCAATTTTCTTTCACTATATATACATTTTCTAATCTGAACATGGTTATTCGATCGTCAAACTCTTGTTTCAGTCTGTTTATATACAGAGGAACCCCGCCTTGCGACCACCCCGTTTGTACGACCACCTCTTGCCTCAGCTCACCTCCCATAGTCTTTCCACCCAGACGTGGAAATCTCCGAGTCATTTTATTATTTTACAGACCTCTTCAATGCGACCACCTCGGTATCACGACCAGGATTTTATGGCCCAACGCTGGTCGCATCAACGGGGATCCGTATCGGTAAAGGGCTCGCATAGCGAAGGGGAGACAATTAGAGCATGCGCGAAGGCCGGTTGGGGTCAATGTTCTTTTTTTCTCTCGGCTAGGAGGGTGACTCTCCTATACGAGACAGGTTTTCTCCATATAAAGAGAATTAAAACTTTCGGATACAAAACTTGTAATAGAGAAGGAATCAGAAACAATTTTAAAATTCTCAAAAAAAAAATATTGAAGCCCTCGTAATTTCGATCGAAAAGACTACGCAAGTTGTCCCTTGTGGATGACCGAACAGTTGTTATAATTATATGGCGCCCTAAAAGGGTTTTCAATATATTTAGGAGGAAACTGTCGTTGGGTGCTCCTGTCAACTATCACCTTACGCTACCACTACTTTCTTTACCCGCATAGTTGCTTTTCAGTTTCACTCTCGGTCATTTGCCATTTTCTGAGTGTGCGCATTGGTACCGGTCTTGAGACTGAAACTTGGTGGCTCGTCAGAAATTCATGATCAGAACTCTTGAAAAGAAAGTCTGCGACCATAACTTTCTCTGGCATTCATCAATGAAACGAATATGGAGGCTGCATCCGCTTCTGGGTCCGTTCAATTCTCGAAGGTCCCGATAATTAACGGGCCCCTAAAGCTGTTGTTGTTTACATGCAAGATAGAAATTTCAATAGTTTTGCATCTAAAGTGATAAAACTATCAGTTAATTAAAAAAATGAAGAATTTTGCTAGCCAGGACCCGCGCCCCTGTTATTTTTTTTATTTCGATTTGAATGTTTGATTTCGGGCCCGACAAGTTATAGGGACTTTGGACAAACGGGCCCCTGGTTCGTTGTCAAAGGCCGCAAGACGGAATTTACTGAAAAGTAAACTTAATGCTTTTGCCTAAACAGTGTCCTTTAACGTGAATTTGAAGACGTCAGGGCCTAACCCATTGGTAAACACGTTTGATTCCAGCTTTCTAACTTGCTGTATCTGCGGTATGTCTTCTTAGTGTCAGATTTTAAAGCTGGTTTGAGTAGCCGAGCATGCTGTAAGGAGGAAATTGGCTGATATACTTTGACATATCCTTTGGTAAAGGAATGAGAGACGAACAGGTCAGCGTTCTAGACCCCAGGTTTCTTTCATTGTATATATTCGATACTAGAAACTGAAACTCATGCCTTAAGTCTTCACACTCAAGGAGATGTTTGTAGACTTGAAAATAGCGCTACGTCATCTACCACTCCACAAGGCCGCCCTGCCTGGATAGCATTTCCCCAATTACTTTGCAATATTTTCTTACTTGCGTTTGCTAATGTAAGTTTTTAATGCTGGTTAGCCTGTGCAATCATTTGAGAAGGGGGAGACAGGATTTAGAGTGAATTGCTTACCTAACATCCTTGAACAAGAGTTACAGCGTAACCCTTTCGACGGATTCTTCTATCCCCTCAACGGCCTTTTCATCGGAGTCTTACCAGGTAGTACCCAAGTAAGATTCAGAGCCACCCTTCCCCAAAATATACATATGAAATAACGTGATTTTTTATTGTGATTCTTCACTCAAAACAAAAAACGCTTCCGAGATCATTTATCCAGGTTGTCCAAAGTTCAAAACCTACTCAGTGTTCGTGTGTACTGGTAGGGTGTATGATTTTGATGTTTTCCAAATTCCTTAATAGTCAATGCTTTTATCACACGCGCAGGTGTCCGAAAACTGACTACCACTTTACACTTTTAAATCAAGTACTGTTGGCAGCCAGACTAGCAACCTTTCAGTTGTCGTATAATTGAACAAATAACTTTGGAAACATCAAAGAAATGTACAAACAGTTTTGTTTTCCGTTCGAAAGATGGTGTTCGTTGTCACGCAACACCTGACTCCTTGTCTTCTCACACTTCCTCCCTGTATGTTGTAACCAAGAGAGAATGATCTAAGAGAGCGAATCCCCCATACATGACCCTCTTTCCATGAAAATTATTTTCAATCTATTCTTGGTTCTGTGTCATACTGCGTGGTTATTTTAAGGACGCCACCTTATTGGTCGGTTTGAATGGCGTTATGTAATTTTAAACTTGGCGGGTAATTCATTTCACTGCCGATCACACACAGCAAGCGATATAACGTTCAAACTTGGTATTAATTTCGCCGACTAGAGTCAAAAGATTTCTACGTGGAAAAATCTGGCGGCCAGAGTAGCTGCCGAAGAGCAAAACCGTCCTGGTTTGTGGAAGTTTGCCGGCGAAAGCGGTTCCGACTCGACGGAAATTGCTAATTGAGGTCTGCGCTACATCAGTATAAAAACATTGTACAAAAACGACAACTGTCTCTTCCGGCGACATCCACGCACACCCGCGCGCTGTGATACCTTCGTTTAGATCCAACCGTGGACACGTAACGAGAAAATTGGTTCAAAGTGGGTTCAAACATGAATGTTTGGCCGCCAAACATTTGAATTTTGAGAGGGCGCTAGACAAATGTGGGCACACCGCTCACTATAAAGAATTGACCGAAACCGGAAACCGCGCATAAAAAGTCTCTGGCATCCAGGTTAGCGATTGTCTGACAGCTCGAAGCATCTGACCTGATTTGTGTTCGCAGGGCGAAATATTCATCGCAAGTATTAGGCGTTAAGAAGAAGTAATGCAGTTTGAAACTCGCAAGAATAATTCTTAAAAGTAAATGCACTGTTTCTCAAAGAAAAACATTCCTTGAAAAAGAGAAAACATATCTTGCACATTTGCATAAACAATTGAAGCCAGCCACCTATTAAAGGTTTCGTGTTTCGCCCGTGATAACCTTTGCCTTTGGCTTTCATGTTGTGTCAGAATTCAACATTCGTTACTTTTAGAAAATCTCAATCTTTCATCTCAAAGTCGAATTTTGACTCCGATACTGCAATCCCTTTGTAAATGAAATTCATTCCTAAATTATGAGCGGACCGCGCTGATCAAAAACACGTCAACAACAGG